TTTGTGTCACCTGTAACTGAAATGATGTTGTCCATCTTCTCTGTCATCACACACTGTCTGTTGCATGATGCAGTCCACCACAATTGGAGATAACATGATGGCTGTAGGCAGCCTGATCTTTCTACTGTTTTCACCTCAAAGATTATGCTGAGTTTTCATTGATGGATCATTCGGCACCCAACATACTCAAATAACTTAAATATTGAATCTAATAATAATAATTATAGTAATAATAATAATAAGATTTCATAAATTACAATATCGTAGTAATGTTTATAAAGTTTGATGCACTATACTGGCTTAAAATTGATGCTGATGATTTGTAACCAGAAGAATACAACTACACTTGTATTGCATAAATTGTTCATGTTCTTTGGAAACTTTCAGAAAGCACTCCATAAAAGAGCAACTCTGCTGCTCAGATATTCATCTCTCTTTGACGGCAGAATCATAGTTTTATTAGGTTGATTATAAACCGTTTTCTTAATAAAATCAAAGCAATGCGTACTTAGTGCATTTAAACGTAAAGAAGGTGAGCAGTTAAGTATACAGACAAAATAAACCAGCTTGAACAAACGCCCCAAAGACACAAGTAAAAACGAAGCATTTATGACACACTGGGAAGCTATGTATACAAGCATGAAACCATGAAATTGCAATCGTATATGTTAAACTCTGAAGCCCGCTGCCTAGTAAGTGACCGTTAGATCACACTTATTGTCACAGACTAGAAAGACTCGTTCGTTAAGACCAAATTTGTTTATTAGATATATCACACAGTAAAACAATATTACCTACTGGATGATGTTTCGAACACAATTTATTGTTTATATCCATGTCAACTTTAACTAGACAATTTCAAGACTTTCGTTTTATAGTTTTCTTTATTGCTTACTATTCGTCGTAGGGGCAGTAGAATTTTTCAGATTTTCGGGACGATAAATAATATTGTTTCACTATGTGACATTTCTGATAAATAAATAAAAATGAAAATGCATACTAAAACAGTACCCAAGTTTGACACATATCGATGGAGACTCGATGGGGAATGCTTTAATATTAGTAATACCAACAAACGAATTGTATCTTGATAACGAGAGAACAGTTAGAACAGACAGTTCATAGCTAAAATCATAAATGAGAATTGTTGGGCTTTAGAGTTTACATGTATTGCTGTCATTCAATGTTCAACTTTAGTTTTATTGAAACTTATTGATCAATGTCTTTTTAATTCACATATACAAATTCAGATTAACAGTTTCACAGGTATGAATTTAGAGTTTAAACCCTATATAATGTCATATCACTTATTCTCTTACCACTTTAGAAATATTATCTAACGTATTTAGAACTGGGCATCATCTCATTTTTAATTTATTCAATATGCTTTTAGTTGATCCGACTGTTACAACTTCATTTTCAAATGTATGCGTACCTATTTCGATTTCTCTGAGAATTATATACATCTACTTTCTACTCACTACCCAGTTTTAGTGGAGTTATGCCATCAGATCATGATTACAGTTCATAATTTAACCAACTTTTAAGTGTTAGGACAGATGTAGCTGTGTGAAGTAATCACTTAATGTGACCGAAATAACTAATTGTTATTGTTTCATTTAATTCCTAGAGGAACATGGGATTTCAGCCACACGTCTCCATTGCGTTCAGTCCCCTGCCAACTTTTTCACCTGGCTCCAAGTCTGTCCACATGCTTTCATCTCCTCTTCACATGACCTCCTCCAAGTCACCCTTGCACTGACGACCAACTCGCCGCTTCCCTTTCGGATTCCACTCGAGCGATGGCCTAGCATAAGATGTCACTTGATGGTTTCCTTAGAGCATGGCCAATCCATCTCCATTTCTTCCTACCTATTTGTTTCACAATCGGTTCCTGGTTGGTTCGCTCATTGCCAGAGATCCCTGTTGCTGATCTTTTCTGGCCATCTGATCTTGAGTATTGAGCGAAGACAACTGTTAATGAAGGTCTGAAGTTTGTTTGAGATGCTCTTTATGACGCACTGGCCAAGTCTCTGATCAGTATAGTGAGTAGCACTGACTTCACATTGGAGTTGAAAATCCGGATCTTACTTTAATTTTGATGGTGAGTGCTGTTGACCTCCACACAGACTTGAAAGTAATGAAAGCTTGTCTTGCTTTTCCGGTTCTGGCTTTGATATCCTCGTAAGGTCTGTCGGCCTGTAGTTGAAACGATGCTTCCCAGGTAGGTAGGTAAAGGAGGTTCCTCCCATTTATGCTGATTGTTGTCTGTTGTTGTTGTTGCTGTTCGTATTTTCCAGGAACCTTCATCACCTCTGTTTTCTCTATGTTCACCTGAAGTGAAGTCCTATCTTTGATGCTTGTTATGCCAGCTTGTTGCTTTTCACTTGCATATCTTCCAGTTTGTGGGAAATCAGACATATACCATCGGCGAATTCCATATCCTTCAAGTTTTTGCGTGGGTCTTTTTTATGCCTGTTTCCTCTCAATCAGTTTACCGCAATCAGTCTTGTCTTACTTGCGTCTTCACTTCGAAGGATTTTGTGAGTTTCCCGTTGTGGAATACTTGACATCAAACATTATCGTACAACTGTTAGATGAGGTGTATAATCGTTGACTGCAGCCCGTAGTAGTGAAGTAGTTTCCAAATCGCCTCTAGACCGACGCTGTCAAAAACCTTTTCAAAGTCAATGAAGTTAAGGTAGACAGCTGACTGTCTTAGAGCGATATAACTACTCAGCATTACTAATTGCAATAAACGCATTTTTTATCGTGCTGGACGCTGATTTTAGTAGCCCAGAGGACATATTACCCTTATCATCAACTCTTCATTAGAGGTTCTATCATGAGACTGACATCAGTTAGAGATTCGTTGGAAAAGCTTGAAGTACTAGACAGCTGCTTCGTTTTAGTTTCGGACCCCTCAGTAGTACGCACCCATCCCATTTCGTATCGGGTCGAAGCTAGAATTTATGGGTTGACCATTGAGTCTGGTTCTGGTGGCTGAATGGTCTACCAGCTGGCCTTATAACTGGGAGGTCCTTGGTTCGAACCCCCAGTGGGTGAAAACCACTGGGGAGTCCCAAATTAGAACGAGACAGCTGTCTAGTACTCCTACGTTTTCCAGTGGTTCCCTAACTAAGACTGCCTCGTGATTAAATCCCTGCAGAACAACACTTGATAACTCTTTACTAGTTAACATTCATAAACAGTGCTTGCAATGAAATTTAGGAAAATATAATAAACTTTTGAACGCATAACTGAATCATGTGAATATGTGTTTAATATCTTGTAATAATAAATCACTAATCGTTCAACTTGCCTGACGATTAATCTGTCTTTTCAAAACTACTCAATAAGACGGACTGACTGGTAGGGCAAGCTTTCGTATTTCAGTTTTTTAAGCATTACGGTTTTTCCCCTTGACCTTTACCCTTCAATAATTTCACTGACGCTGTTACTGCAGTCAGACAAAATGCATTAAAACATACACCACAACTAAAGTGCTCAAGTATTTTCTACCCCATGTTTTACGCCACCACCACGGCTAATTTTTTTATTACAGCTTGATTCCACACCGTATTTTTGGTAAAAGTATGGAATTTTTAGCATGTGATATCGGTAGCCCAAATTTCGCTGGCCAACGATTGATATCAGGTGTGCGTTGGCAGGGGATCGAACCCCGAACTATGTGCATGGTCGGCGAGAGTCCTAACCACTGTGCCACCAACGCACCTTTTCACATAAGTTACCAGTAATTCTAAAATCCTTTGTGTCTTTCTAAAATATATAATCCAATATTGTAATTTGTTAAGTCATTTTAAAACAAACAAATCGTCCGTATCCCCAATAAACAATCCATTACCTTTACTCTAGTCTCCAGCATAGTCCACTTTACAGTAGTTTGGCGGCAAAGAGGATGTCAGAATAGTGATACCGTAATTTCTCATTGCAGCAGTTCACTCGAGTTTAATTAGATAGTCTTAGGATATCAAATTTTTATAATGGTCCGAATGTTGTTTAGCGATAAACAGTTAGGTAATGAAGAAAACAACAACTTCATAAGCCACATGCCTACTTAGAAGCATTTCCTTCAATCACGTATACTTAGAGGACCTGTAGTAGAATAGTTCACAAGTTTGCACTAAAGATGTTTCATCTTGCAAAATAAAATAGGTCACCACCTATTGCAAAAAAAGATATTAAAGGATGGAATATTCAAGTTAGCTTCATAAAATATCCTTTTTGTTTTAAATCAGTAATTTTGAAAAAACTTTAACCCAATAATACAACCTTGATATATTCGGATTTTAAGGATAAGCCACTGTTTCCGATTGCTGCTTCATCAAGTTCTATAGTCATGTATCCACAATAATGCAGGAATTGTTCTTATGAAAATTACTGTTTTAAACAACACCGAATCAGTAAGATCACTGGATTACAGTTCAATCTCATATGAAGGTGATAATATGCATCAGTATGACACTGAACTTGAATATCAGATAAATTGAGGAAATTAATACAGAATTCATGAATTCACGAGTTTTACAGAAGACCAGCGTAACACTAGTAGCTGAACCTGTTCCTTTTTCATGCAGAACTCTGGTTATTAAATCCAGTTGAAATGACCTATGCTCTTTAGAGTATTCGATACCTAGAAGCCTTCGACAATATATTTGGTACCTGATAGATGATAGAAAAAGTTTCTTTAATGTTAACTTCATGATCTGTCTGGACCAAGTGGTCCAATATCGAAGTGGTAGGTTTTCCTGAGTACGAAAGATTAATTTTTACAGTTATCAAGGATACATAACTGTAGAACCTGATGATGGTGAAGACGTCTTTGAAAAGAATATGTCATCACAGGATAGTTATCTAGTGTTGTTTCAACTGTTACAGCTTATATTCGCAGATCTTTCTATTCTGTTCAAAATCTATTCATGATATTTCAGTATAATTCGTAAATATTAACACCATAATACAATATTTATTACTTTCAGAAAATTGTCGTCAAAAAATAGTTTATGCATCAAATACTCTAACAAGAAAAAAGAAATGCAAACACCTAGTAACAAATACAGAAGGCAAATCTCCGATCATTTCACAAAAATCACAAACTACAGAAGAAACTGGATCATGTGAACAAAATGATGATGATGATAATGATGATGATGATAATGGCGGTAATGAGCATAAGAAAGATTTCTCTTCACAAATTCAATTGGAAAAGTATTCACTGACCGAAAAAAGAGTCAATGAAAATATTTCTAATGGCTATCTAGTTCATGTATCCGACAAAAATAAAAACAATAACCACTCGAATGAAATACGCTACACTATGTTAAAAGAAAATTCACAAACTCTTGAAAGTTTTAATTCCCTCTCATGTCCAATACATCAGTTAATGACTTCAAGTTCTCTAACAGCTAAAGATATTCAATCAATAATGCCAACCATGAATGAGTTAATTCAAGCAGACGTCTTATGCTCACCATCAAATCGTAAACTACTCGATAGGCTATATATTATACATAAAAGTATGCAAGAAGTAATGCAATCAAACAGTCAGGCGTGTATATTACTTTTAAGTATAAACGATCGTCAAAATATCTATGAAGGTTTAATCACTGCTGGTCTAGCTGACAAAAGCAAACTTCAACCTCCTAAGAAGCCTCCATTATCAAGCTTAGAATTAAGTGAAGTGTTGAAAATTCTTCAGAATACTAGGCAGAAGTTATTACTGTCAATTCAGAATACAGAACAATCTGACAGTAATAATGATAACAGTGATAGTAATACAAATAGTAGTAGTAAAATTAAACTTGCAGAATTTGATCAAATCAAGGCTACATTATTAGAAGTTACAAAATTGATTAAATCCAATGATAAATTATCACTTCTCAAAGATACACAGTATATGTCTGACAGTATTGAAGAAGTGATCAATTCCCTAGAAAATCTTAATACTGTAGACATCTCATTTGAAAAAGACTCTGAGTTAAGTTCAGAGATAATTGAACACTTAGATGATGTAATTAATTTAAACCAGAAACTTATCGTGACTCAAGGCCTTGAAGCTATAAAAGAGAATGTTTTAAAACAAACTAATCAAAGGAATAATCATTATATTTTACAAAGACAATCTGCTATTGATATTGTTGCAGCTTTAAAACTAATCGAAGATGACTTATACACTTCTAGTATCGCTTCAAACACTACCAAAGATAATAAGAACAGTCAACAAGTATGCACCGCTGACCACTTGAAATATATTCATAAATCTATTGCCAAACAATTAACTTTAGATGAAAAAGATTCCTCAGACAATAGTACAATTTTGTGTCTATCAGCTGATATGAATTTACTTGAAGATGCCTTTACAAAATATTGCAACAAACCAAATTCACACATGAAAGTTTCACCGAAAAATGAGTCTACCATAAATATAAATAACACTCCTACTAATTATATAACTTATGAGAATACAATGAATAGATTTCAAGATATTCTAAGTCCAATAAGTGAACACTGTACACCAGAAACAAGTGCATATGAAACAGATACAATGTCCAATGAATCAGGTGTCAAGCTAAAAACTTCTAAAATCAAAAAAATACTATTACCCACATATCATCAAAAAAATGAATCTAAGGCGTATCATTCAGATGATGAAACTCAGGTATTGTCAATTTGTTCAAAAGTACAACCTGAAAATACATCACAGAATGTTTCACTAGCTTCTGCTGTCGGAGTCGACTACCCAGATTTATCTACCTTCATTGATGATACATTAGGTGAACATAAAGAAACCCATAGTGTTTCTGATAATTCTTCACATACCTCTTATAATTTATTATCAGACCAGTTTAGGACAGAAAGTACTTTTCTTATTGATTCTTCGATTATAGCGCCTATTGTAAGCTTTTTAAAATCAAAAATACTCGATAATCAAAGTAATATATTCCGTGAAGGTGAACAACACCAGAAGCCAGAGTATACAGTTAATGATGTGAAAAAAATCAGTAATTATCTGACCAACTGTTTATACGAAAATCCTGAACAACCTATTCCACTAACCGGTACAAATTATAACCTTTTAAATAAGTTATTGACAGCAGATCAGTCAACTTATACTAATATGCTAAAAATCCAATTGGATTTGTGTATAAATATAGAAAATCCAAGTCATACATATATGGCTACTGAAGAAACAGAAGCAGAAGACGAAGAAGACGGACCAGTAGTCAATGAAGAGTTAACATTTCTAATTAATACATTACAAGATAGCGAAAATATTGTCTTGAACAAGCCATTTATTGAACAGTTATGCTCAGTTGTTTCAAATTACTCCTTATCTATTCTACCTGACAAATATCCATCTTTGCTAGCTGTGATTAACAGCTCTGATGACGCAGAATGCTTTTCAAATAACAATAATTCAGAACAATTCAAACAGGAATTAAGTAGTGAGCTGAAACAACTTTTAGAAGTACTTCATATTGAATTACAATCAGAAAATATGATTCATAGGGATGGATCTATGAAAGAAATAGTAGGATATTCTTTCCCTAGACTGCCGAATGATCACATTCGTTCAGCAAGACCAATCAATTTTATCCAGACTGTTATCTCTTTATACATTTTAGACTTATTTTGCTTATTACCAAATGAAATGGATCAAGTGATTTATTTAATAAATATACATAAAAATTTTCAATCATTAGTGGATTATTCTGAATCTCCATCGATTCATTGTTCACCCGTGTGTACAAAGCTGAAATCCCTATTTAATTTGTTCAGTTCACATAATACCACTCCTGACAGTGAAATATACCGAGCAATTAACAAAATGCTACCATCGATTAAGGTATGCGTAGAAACAACTAAACACAGTGATATTTTTCAAAAACACATTGAAGATATTTTAAATCGAACTAAACACAAGTTGACAAGTAAACAGTATTATTTTGTAAATGGTGAAACTGATGATATAGTATGCGGAATTCTAATAACTTTATATGTAACACTTGTAAAAGGTACAAGAAATTTAAATCCACATGAAATTGCCAGGACTTTGAGTGAATTCTGTGATTTTTATCACTCTCTAGTGAACTCAAAATGTATTAAATTGTTTGATAATATTTCTCAACCATTATTATCTCTAATTTCAAACATTTTGCACACTGAATCAGTTGGGGAAGGTAAAAATGACCATCACTGTCTAAATTTGACAGATATCAATTCTTCCATTGTCCAAGTTGTATCTGAATGTCTCACAAAATTATCAGAATATAAAACTATGAAGTTTATGCAGCCGCTTATTTTACTTAGTCTCTTATTGTCTCAAAGACGTTTGTCCTATGAATTTACAGATTTCAGTTCAGCAGAAGTAAATATTTTACTGAGTATCCTTCTACTGCTTCGTTCAAATTTTCAAATAAATTTACAAAATTCACTAACAATGATAATGAAGAATTTAGCGAACTCATTACAAAATGGAAATACAGCCATTCCATTGCATAGAGATGATTACATTTCACAGAGACTTTATTCAAGTATTTCTCCACTAAGAAGTGTTGCATTGATTCATGGAAATTTTGATGTACACCAAGGGAATTCGATTGTTCCATACACAACTAAAATTTATTCATCTAATAAGTTAGAAGTTTGTACAGTTTTTTTTGATGAAGGAAAATGTGAACAGGAGTTCCCTGTATGTATCAGTGAACAAAAATCTAATAGTCATAATTTATTCTTACAGGCTTTAACACTGCGAGAAATTCTTAATCAACCAAAAACAGAAACTATGACAAACGGATTGGAGATAAAACCACAATACTGTAGGCTACTTAAAAGCTGTTTATCAGAAATCCTGTCAACATCATCATCATCATCAACAGTGTTACCTCAAGAAATTGTAAAATCAACACATCAAATCATGCAAGATATACACTTAGCCGAAGTTAGTAATCATACTTATCATATGAGTGAAGAAACTTTGAATAAATTAATTGTGTATTCCAATAATTTAATCAGTCATGCAAAAGAAGACCGTATAAATGAACTGAATCAGACTATCGACAGCCTGCCTGATAATAATCAGGTCGAAAGCAACACTGTTGACACTGTTGATTCAATAAAAACTTCTATCCATTCAAATCTAATTGTACGTATAATTGATCAGGAATTGAAGCCAACAACTTGGTTTACTCTTTCACATATAAATAAACAAGTCTTAGAATGTAAAACAACTATAGATGAGATCAAGTTATTAAAGGACGATTCAAAAATTGCAGAAAATATTTTACAAATGCCTCAATCATCTTCTTCTTCCACTGCTGATGTATGCGATCAAGTGATTCTCTTAGCACAGTTAAATCAATTGAAGGCAAATCTTAAGAATGTTGTCAATCAAAATGAAGTCTGTATACTGAATACAGATAATGCAGAAAATTTATTCTGTATTCTAGAAATGATTAAAAATCAAACAGAAATTATGGAAAGCTTAGAAGAAGAAGATAAAGATTTTATAAATTCAGTTAAATTGGATATTATTCCCAACTGTATTATACATTCTACTCCGCTTATAATGAATTCAACATCTATGGTTAAAATTCAACAAGTACTTGACAACATATCCAGTGCTGAATTAAACACAATACAGACAAGGATTTCTAAATGTTTCAAAGATAAACAGTTGATGGATAATGATGATGGCAATAATAATAATAATAATCAGCTTGCGAGTGATTTAATTCTTGGTCAGTTAGCAGTTCTGTCGTATTCAAAAGAGTTGAAAATATCCCCTAAAGACTTTGATTCTCTACGCGACTACTGTGTCCTCTTTCAACAGGGTAATAATGAGAATAAACAAACTAATATTCCTATAAATTTCTTATCTAACCTTACTACTAATAATAATGCTAACTTCAGTGATGCCTATCCAAAAACTCTTCATAAGGATGTACTTTGTATAAAATTAAAAAGAATTCAGGAATTTTTCAATAGAATTGAAATTAACGATGAAATTACTAATCCAATATCAGCATACAGACTGTTAGTTAACACTATGGAACTGGAGTATTTAGCTAGATCACATTCATTAGAAATAGCTACAATACCAGAGAGCTTAAAATCTTCACTAATCAGTATGTTAACAACTCGAGAAAAATTATTTCCCTACACGTTAAATGAAGAAGAAAGTATACACTTGAAATGTCTTCAAAAACAACTCAACTATATCATAAATGAAATGGTAGACACTAGTAAAGTAATTCATCCAAGTGAATTAACATATCATGATTATACCTGTTTAACAAATGAAGAAAACACATGCGAAACTTCAATACCGTTAGCTGAATATGAGTGCAACACACAACAACTGGTCAACACACCATTTTTATCATCAACACAATTGAATATTTTAAAAACTTGTGAAATAGTTCAATGTTCAAGTGTTGAAAATCCACTAGGCAACACTAAAACAGAATTTATCAACACTAGTGAAGAATGTAAAGAAATGAATGTAGTCATTGAAAAATTTGTTAATCTATCCGACAATTTTCGTGTTTTCCGTAGCCTTACTTCTAAACCCTTTGACAATACCATAGTAGAATCTAACCAAATTAATAATCTTGCTACTTTTATCAGTGAAGTACGCTTAGATGAAGGGTTGGTCAACCATTTGACTCCTGATGAAATACAAGAAATCGATGAGGTATATTATAAGCTTTTAGAACACAAAATGGAAAAGAAAGCTTACAGCCTATCAGATGTGTTTAACCCGTGTAACCTAATCCAACAGAATGCCCTAAACAAAATCACATCACATATTGCAGCATTAGAAACAAAAGCACAACAGCTGTTAAGTGCTAAAGTTGAAAAGGTTAACCACCTAATTTCTGTAATGTCAAATCCACAGGATGAAGTAGAAAATTATGAGGAAGGAAAAGTCAAAGATGAGTTTTATTCATCACCTGAATTAGTTGAACAAGATATTGACATTGAAACAGCGACTTTTCTGAGATCAACAATACAGTCATATTTGGAGTTAAAACAGCTGCCTACTATGCAAACTATTCCATTAGTTTCATTGATAGAAAATATTAGCTCACAGGTAGAAATGTTGGATACTGAGCAGTGTCCTACGCAACGTCCAATGGTCAAGTTATCTACTAGTGATCTGAATCAATTATCTACAGTTTTCGCAGCCTCTAAACATCAAAAACTACCAGAAACTATGATTTTATGTACAAAAGTATTGAATTATAAAATTCTTTTTGATATTATTTCATATGATATTCCGATATGTGAGATAGAATCTCGTATTGTCTATTGTGCCTTCAGGGATTTAAATCAGGTGAATAAAGTTATGCCTAGTGAATTACTTAATAATTTAGAACAACGTTTAAGGAATTATTGTCATTTAAGCAAAATACAACAGCAACAACAACCATTCGTTTTTTCCACTGCTGAAATTCATTCGTGTAAATCACTACTCGCATACTGTGAATCTGAAATAAAGTTGGAAATTTTACAAAAACTCAGTCATTTTTCAAAATTACTCATGAATCAATCAGGTGAGCGATTTACTGAAAACTCAGAAATAACTGTCTGCAAGGATATCTACTATCTAGTTCTGATGTGTTTACCGAACTTATCGTTGAATTCTGTTAAATATTTACGAACTATAACTGACTTATTAGTGACACCCGGGTTTATTCACAATACAAAAAATTATGCATATTGTTTAAAAAATCTCTTTTCATCTTATAACATTCTAATCATGTATAAAGGTGCCAGTTCACTACAGGAATTACTTGAGATCAATGTGCCTATGTCAGTCAGTGAACCATCGTCATCAACATCCTCCTCCTCCTCTTTTTCATACTTAAATACACACTACTTACTCTTCTTTACTAATCTACTAGAGAATTTTATAGATATAAAGAAATTAGAGCAAAGTTTATCACCCACTGACATTCTACTTTTAGTGTATCTTTTACAAATACTTCAGTCAGCAATAATTCATGAAAAGAAATTAAAAGCTCATTTAAAACATTTCATTACTAGACTACTGTTTAATTTCATTACAAATCAAAGTACTTTCATCGATGAATACAACAAACACCTGATTAATGATTTATGTAAACATGTAAAATGGATATCAGACAGACAAAGAGTCAAACTGTTCACTGAAGGCCTTAATTCATTAAATACAATCAGAAATGATAATAATGATTTTAGTACAAAACACCATTGTCAACAGGTGTCAAGATGTCTTCAATTAATTTTATTTAATCCATTGCAAGGGTTAATCAATCCTTTAAAAGCTAAACAAATAGCCTGTATTATAGATAATTTCAATCAATCAACATGTAATCCACTCAGATACCCGTTCATTTTTGAATTGATTGAACAAACTTTAAATAATTTTGGTAATGATAATGAAAATTTACAATCAACTAACAGTCCATCTACATATATTCCATATATTTTTCAATGTATATTAATGATGGAAAGTTATTTCAATAAAAAGTTGAATGAATCATCTTCATTTCAAATGATAAATAGAGAAGATGCTGCAGTTATGTGTGTATCACTTGCATATCTTGTAAACAGAAATATTGAAGTAATAAATAATCTTATTGATAATGATTCAGAAGACAACACTTTCACCATATCTTCTACAAATTCATGGATAAAATTATTACTCTTAAGAATGTGGTATACATTTGTAGCCTGTAGTCAGTCACATCAACACTACCAGCATTCATATCGTCATTCACCGTTTGCCTTAGAATTATTAAAATTAGAACAAAATGAAATAAAATGGTTGATTGACTACTGGAAACCTCGTCTAGAATTATATTCACAAATAAAACGTACAGTTAGTATACGTGAGCTTTCAATTAGTACAGAATGTGATTTAACCGCTGAAATGACAAATCAACAATTACGCAATGCAATCTGTTTATCCTTATTAAATAAACAAATGAATGGACCAAGAAATGCATGGATATGTATAAACTTTTTAAAAGAATTACAAAGCGAATGTGAACAAGAGTTCATCAGTATTTCGAATTTTGAAAAGGAAGCCTTACGTTTAGCACTATGCTCTGCGAATATGAAACCGAGTGAAACAATTGCAAACACTGATATTATTGCCTCAGTAGTTTGTTTAAATTCTCTTTTATCTAGAATGTCATCCACAACAATATCATTGTCAACATCTTTCGAACTTCCTGAATTATTTCTTATCCAGCCAACTGATGCAGCTGCATTCGCTTCAAGTATACAAAATATTCTTCGCTATACATATCCAGATGTACATAAACCATACTCTTTTTATTTGCTCAACGATATTGAATGTCATCTATGGATATCATCTGCAAATATGGAGAAATTATGGATTTCGAAATTCGAATTTCGTTTAATAAGTGAATTAAAACAAAAAGCATCAGAGTATCTCATGAAAAGTATTCGCCATGAATTAATCAATATATTAAATGAATGCGATGAACGAAACCTGATTAAACCAAATCTAACTTGTTTATCTATTGAAACGACAAAACGAAAAAATCTTGCCCAGTTGTTAAGAACTTTTATGCTATTAAATCATTATCCCTTAAGTCATACTATAAATATACTCCATCACCTACAACTTCTTCATGATATGTCATCTCCATATATTTCTGTACAAACTGTTTCTTATTTGAGAAGTTTAATTAGCTCTAGTATGCCTAATGAAAACCCTCTATTACAATATAATCAATATGATTCCTTACTAGGTGATAACACAACATTCAGAACGAATTGTACATCACATACATTAGACAGTTGTTTAATTAACTACCTTTTTGCAAAAGATCAGTTTTGCCAAAATCTTCCCGGAGATATTATAACAATTATCCAGACATCAACAGTTTACAGTTGTACTTGTGAAGAAATAATCAATTCATGGAGTATGCTACCAAAGCATAGTTATGAGCGATTAAATTCATGCATCTATGAATTGTTTTGCTTAAATCTTAATATGTTTGCAAATCATTTGTTAAAAGTGGTGATTACAAATGATGAAGAATTTTCAGAGGCTAATGTTAACATTAGTAGATCAATTCCATTGATATTGTGTTTTTTAAAATATGTATTATTAGAAGATACTGAAAAACACAGCAAATCTATTGAGTTACAGAAAAGTGTTATAAGGCATAATATCTCTGTAAAATTAACCTCTTCAGAAAATATTTATACGTTAAATGATAGATTGAAACAACTACTTGATAAACCGTTAAATCAATTAAGTGTATTTGATTTAATACAAGCGATTATAGATTCAGAACAATTTCAGCATAAACTAATGTTCTCAAAATTATTTCATGAAGATTTAGAATATATACCACATTTACAATATTATCTATGCAATAAATTAGTCAGTGAACTTTGTAAGTATTCGACAACGTTGGATAAAGAGTATACACCTCAGGTACATCAGTGTCAACAGTTAGGTATAACATATGAAGAGACCGCTAAAAAATTGAAAGAAAATATAAACAATATTTATATAAACTTATCAATAGATGGTAGTAATAAAACACAAATGTGTCCATTAAGAATTGATCCTATGAAGTCTGCCTGTGAATATGTTCATGAGAATGATGCCGATGATGATGCTGTTGAAATCAAATCTGATACAATATCAGATACTTTGATTAATTTTACAACTTGTGAAACTGTTTTATATCCAGTTGAAGATGTAAGACCTGAAATAAATCGATTAAATCATTTACTAGCTATTAATACATTACAACCGGATGAAATGTCTGCAATTTTATCGTCTATAGTTGTTCTTCGTGATGCATCAATGCGTTTACCGCCAGGCTTAAAAGATTATACACATTTTTCAACAAAAGAAGAAGATGCCTTGAAAAAATTACAAAGTTTAATTGATAAGAGAATGATTCTTAAATTGGATAAACAATTGAAAACTACCCTATGGATGTTAAGTCAACGTTTGGGACTTTTAGCTATACAAGCTAATAAAGATTTATTACGTACTGGTTTAGAAATATGGTTAACTGCCTCATTGGAAAATGAATTCATATTTAGTAAACAGCAAATTCAACAGATTTACTACGCTCTGTGTTTAGCAGATAATATAAATAATGAAAACTATTCACTACAGACAGATTTTTCGAATACTTTTGATTTAGTCCAGAAAGTTATTGTACAATTAAATTCAATTGTCAATGCTAAAGTTGGCGCTGAAATTGAAGGTCCACATAGTCTAGGTCCAATAATAACTTTATTTTTAGAACATGCACAACAACTATTGGAACAAGTTACGTTTTCTGAATTCTTGTCAAATGCTCATATGATATCAACTAATGGAATACCAAGTAGTTTATTTGTGAAACAAAAAACTACAGCTGAAAATTTATGGAAAAGGATAACCTGTCAGTCACCTGAAGTTGTTGAAGACACGCTGAAGTATTTTAGTCAATCTCAAAAATCTCATTCTCCAGAAACCGAATGTCATAATGAACAACCTTCGATGCAAACAAACACTAAACGATATCGAACACTACGAAAACACCCTGAAATTGACGAGTATGATCGACAACAAATTAGACAATCGTACTCTCGAAGTCTAAGTTATGGCAAAACTGAAAATTTCCAGCTGAATAGTCCAGCTTCATGTGATGGTTCACTGTCTTTATTAGCTCTATATAACGATGAAAAAAGGCGTCTGGCTGACTGGGAAGAAACAACTGAAACACGTCTTAGAAAAGCCTGTGAAAGAGTAGAAAAGCTATTAGAAACACTTCCTGAAAAAACACATCCTCAACAAGAAAATGATCATATAATTACACAACTCCGTGGAGAAGTTGTACAACTAAAAGGACAACTGAACTCAGTGATCAATCAAAAAACATTTAGAGAAGATTCATGGTACACACAACAGAATAAAAACAATTCACCGCATGTTTATAAAGAACAATGCAAATCCTTACGAGAAAGTCCACAATTATTTACTCAAGAAAGACAGTTCACTTTTCGAGACAATTTCGGGTTTGATAGTATTCAAAAGTCAGAACGTTATGCTAGTACAATGTATACACCATTGAGTGATCGTCTTGCTTCTAGTACATCTTCTTTAAAAAATATACCTTCTTTTAGAAAACGATATATAAATGAAAATTATTCAGTTTCATGTAAACCTGTTACACCAGATCATACTATTACTTCACCACCATCAACTAGTGAAAAAAGAATTTTACAGAGTTCATTTGATCGACTACAAGAATTGATTGAAATTCGTCGTGCTGTTGTAGCTGGTTCACGAGAAGAATTAAGCAAACTAGGAATTCATTCTAATCTACCAAAAACTTTTCCTAAACCAGTTAAATTACTTCGTTCAAATAATAAATCTGTTATTTTACCTGATAGCCGAATAAACACTGCGCATAATTATGACAAATGGTTTTCAAATAATCAAAGAAATATTGATCGACAGAAAAATTATACTAGTCATCTTTGTAGATCAGAAGATGAATATAGTAGAAGTAATCAAGTTATAGAAGATTTGGAAGATAAACTGGAACAGTTAGAAGAACAAATTCTGCCTCATAGAATCAATGATTCGCTTGTACATTAAGTGAGTGAGTTATGCTATCATTATGTATTGTTTTTTTCTAATGCCTTATACACTTTTTCTATAAAATCATAATAGTGTATTTTCATTTTTCTTGAATTTTTATGCCTGTCTTCAGACGAAACTTTCACATTGAATTATGTGAATTATGACTAGAATCTAAACTATGAGTACGAAATGTCTCAGAACGAACTAATGACAATAATAATATCATCTAAGTCAATTGGTTGATAGTGGCTAGCAGCAGAATCCAGAATGCGCATTTCGCCCTATTTGGAACTTGTCATCCGGATGTATTTCAATTTTTTTTTATTACAGCTGGATTCCACACCGTATTTTTTGGCACAGGTATGGAATTTTCAGCGTGTGATATCGGTAGCCAGAATTTTGCAGGCCGACCATAGATATCAGGTGTGCGTCCGCAGGGGACCGAACCCCGGACCATTTGCATCGTCGGCAAACGCAAATAGGACGCAAACATATTGCCTCTGGCAGGTTGTTTTTCACTTTGTATATTAATTTGAAGGAGGAGGTGCTTTTTGAGATGGAATTACCAGGGTTGACAAGGTGCTCGATTATCGCACTCCTTATAGGTAAGTGAACCCTCCTGCCAACCCTGGTCACTTCATCTCACCCAAAGCCTCTTCCTTCAGAGCAATATATAAAGTGCGGAATAACATGCCAATGGCAACACACTTTAATCTTCTTTGCATTGCTCAAGCTTCAGCCACTCAGTTAGAAAGACAGGAGCTTTGCATATAGAAGTCAATTATTCAGCCACTTCTGCTATCACGGTAACAACATTACTGATCTCTACTGACATGATTTTCGTTTGTCTGTTCTCCTAAATTCTTATGATTATTGTATTTCTTTAGAAATCTTGCACAATTCCATCTTTTCCTCCGTTTCTGTGTGCATTCTGATAACAACTTACCCATTAAAAAATATTGATCTTGATGCGTAACTCTAATGCACTTATTTAACTCATTTTATGCATTGACTAATTTTAAGAACTGTATTTGTGACAGTTCATCACTTTTGTGACTAACCTGTTTTATGAAAAACAAATTTTGTCAACAAGCAACAAACCTTAATAAATCAGAATTTCATGAATCTTTGGCTGAATACTCTACATACAATGATACATATATACTGTCAAAAATACATTAGGAGATATACGACCAATAAGTCAATAAACTAAAATGAATCATTCATACAAAATGGCAGTTGAGAATTTTACACAAGCCAAGTTCACACTGGTGAAAAGGCAAGGTGTGGGAAAGATTTAAATTAAGATTATAATGGAATACGGTTTAGTTACATCACTGGAATTCGTACGGAAAGGCAGTTCTTTGGTTGCATGATGAAGCATTTGCTCAAGTGGTAAAAGAAGGATGAAATCAAGGCCCCAACAAGTTCAGTAACCAAGCATCTTATAGACTACTGAAATGGTACTGCCGCTATCAAGTCATTTACTGTTGTCAGTAGACATACAATCAGAAAGATGCTTGCATTTGCTTATGACTGTGCAATTAGAAATTATAAACCCGAACTCTACATGCAGAAGTAAGTGGTGATCACTTTGAATCGACCACAGTAATCTCTCTTGCCTATTAACTGTAATTACTACTAATTTATTTTATCCTATCTCTTTTTACTGCCATTTCATTATGACTATTATTATTCATTCGGCAGTTTCGGATATTTTCAGGTTCTTTCCCTTATAACTAATTGTTTCTTATAGTAACTGGAGCGTAATCCATTATTATCTAAACTTTAACCTCTCATACCCCTTTGCCTTTATCTATCTGAACCTGACCTGTATAATAATCTCACCTGTCATTTTACATGAATGATTCATTGTAGTCTATTTTATCATCAGTCATATATCTCCCAACATATTTTTCACAGCATATATGTATATCTGTGTGGCAGAATGCTTGCCGACCACGCATTGAGTCTAGGGTTCGACCCCTGGCTACCAACGCACTCCTTTATCTCCCTAAGCCAGTGGTAAGATTGATAAAGAGGGAAGGTTGGTCATAAGGCTAACAACCTCATCCCATTAAGATAAACATCACTGGTACCAAAACTTCAACACTGTGGTCTGAAGCCCTATGTTCCACTGGGAACGTAAATGAATTTTTTAAAAATATGTATCTCTGTATGTCGAATATTCAGTTGAGGAGATCTATCGAAATTCGATGAATTCATCAAATTCTGATTTATTAACATTTGTTATTTGCTTGAAAAGTTATTCCACTTGTAAATAACTCAAATAAATGTTCACATGTTGATTCCAACAAAATGGCTGGAGTACTTTTCATTCTTATATATCCTTTCGATTATTCTCCGGTAACTAAAATCAGTAAATTTGAGGTATAGGAAAAGTAGAAATGTTCGATAACAGTGGAAAAGTGATTTTAAGTTTTTTTATTAGGGATTTTGATTCATTTCAATGAAGACTTTATGACAAACCAACATCAGTTAGAGAATCACTGAAAGCCAGATAGAATTGGACAGTTGTCTCATCCTTGTTGAGAAATTCTCAGCTGTATGCGCCTACTACTCCACGAGGTATGGCAACAAGAAACTTCAGGTTTCCAGGAAAGCCCATACACCATTCAGTTACTCGGTTGTAGTTTTATGATCTGTGATTTCAGTGGCATTGTTACAAGTGCTAACAAAGTTACCAGAGATCGAAGACACTGCATATATGACTTGCATTCAAACGATGACAGTTTTTGTGTGCTCAGTATCCCATAGTCATGTGTAGCTTTTTGACTGACCAACGATATTTTTATTTGCTGAAATAATTTTCACGATAATTGAAGCGTTTAATAAACTAAACCGAGTCACTTCGTATTAGCGGAAACAACACCAAAGTGGGCCAGAATGGAAGCAATAAAGTGTTGATTTGCAGGAATTTGATCGATTCCAAGATTAATTACGGACTGAATTTAGATAAAGAACCATTGAAAACTATCAGGGAATACTACACAGCTGTTTCGTCCTAACCAAGGACTCTTCATCAGTGCGTACCGATGACACCACCACCTGGGATCGAACTCATAACCTCCAGGTTAAAAGATCAACTCACTGGTCATTCAGCCCCTGGGGGTGGGGGGGAGTCCAGTGGTAGCTAAATTGTCATGATTTATCTGTCCCCATTAATTTTTTATAATTTTTATCTTGATCATGTTTGTTTATTCATACACTAAATAATCATTTGTCTGTTATAGGTAAACTAAACTCATTTTTTATCCCTTCTTCAGTTTCTTCAAAACAATCGATCGGCATTCAACAGTCTAGACTCTATTGCGCCTGTCTCAGTCTTTCTTCCAAATATGAACAGCAACAACTAAGGAAATACAATGACACCGTTGTCGAAACCACTTTTCAATGACAAACAGTGAATGTTTTCCAAAAGATTTTACAGAAAGGAAAATTTACAAAATTGTTTTTCCAACTGATACTAGTTCTATAATTATTTTTACCAAATAATGATCAGTGTTACAATGATTATTTCAAAATAAATTTTATACAACTGGTCAAATTGCTCATTAACGCTTAGGATTGAAATACTGTTTTGCTCACTAGTAAAATGATTTCTTCCTACGCTTCCTTTGTCTTCAAAATTAAAATGTGATGATCTGTCTAATTTACTACTTAATTACATTTTTTTGGTTTCTATTTTCTGTGATTTTTGTTTTGTTATGTGGAAAGGATTATTAATAATGGGAAACAACTAAATAACTGAAAATTATGTAATTGTCCATTCACTGTACACTGTATACCAATTCAGTATTTTATAAGTCAGACAGACAACTTATTTTTCCAACAATTTTCTATGTGTATATATATCTCAATATAATGTTACTACAAGAAAATATACACATTTATAAAATATGATTGATTACCCATCAAATAACAGTCTTTTTTATAATTAATCCATTGGAGATCCTAGGTGTTTTTGAGCTGTTTATGACAACTGTAAGAACGTATCTAAAACTACTACATCGACCCGTATCTGTCAAAGAGGTGGTGGCGTGTGAGATCTCTTCAATTGAAGCCGTTACCTGTGGGGTCCACTAAGTCAAATAAGAGAACAGTTAGTCGCCTATCACACTGACTGGTGGTTGCACTCTATAGTATCACGAATTTTCAGAAGTTGGAATTCATAGATCATAGGATTCAGTGTCAGTGTCAGTGGCCGTATAGTCAGTCAGCTCACCTTGAAAATGGAAGGTCCTAAGTTTGAACTCTCAAGGCAATGTGCTGCCAAAGTGTACCAAGTTAGAACGAAACATCTGTACAGTGCTCCAAGGTTTTCTAAGGGTTCTTTGACTGGCGTCAGCCAGTAATCTGACCAATAACCAATGGAGTCCATGTGAACTAAAACTAAATTTTCAACGTATAACTCTACATGGAAATGCAGCAGTTCCATTTTTTATATTTCCATAAAGCACGCTTGGAAATTAGAGAACGTAATGAGACTACGGTTGGCAAATATGCACGAGAAGGATGGTAATCAGATGAATGTGGATTTTCAAAATCTGAATGATGAACAGGGGGTTAATACATCTTCTCCAATGTAAATGACTTCGATTTGCATCCCTAGAATTAGTCCTCAGAATCCCATGAACCTCTAACAGGCAGTCTGCACCACTCTATGTAGCTAAAACTAGCAATGATTTCATATAATCCTTCCATGCCATAATCTTCTCATCACAATACCTTCTCAGTCCAAGTCTTATTTCAGCTAACTTTGCTCTCTGAAGAAGTCAGTGGCTCGACAATATATATATATATATATATATATATATATATATATATATATATATATATATATATATATATATAATATGCACTCCTAAGGTCAATCTGTTATTTTAATATCGGAATAAAACAATGAGCTTCATGCTTAGGGCAATTTCTATAGTAGGCGGTTTGAATAGTGTTATTACTGTCTGAATAAATCCACTATGCTACTGATTAGTTTA